TCCAGATGTTTGACCAGATTCATATTTCCTTCCTACCTTCTTTCCCAGCCTCCCTGTTCCTGCTAATGAAAAGCAACCCCACAGCATGCTACTGCTACCACCGGGTTTTAATATGGGGATTGATTTTTTCAGGATGATGTTCGGTTTTTCTCCACATGCATCCCATGTAGCCCAAAAAGTTTCATTTTTGTCTCATCAGACCAGAGCAGAGTCCTCTGCTTGTTTTTACTGTTGCATGGTACTTCTTCTTCCTACAGGAGCAGTGGAACGCTGCAGCTCCTCCACAGTTACCACAGGCCTCTGTTTGCTCCTACTAATGATGCATTAAGGGAACTGGACTGAACATAATGAGCTTCAGAAGCTTTTTAAAATGTAAATGATATTTTCTGGCTCATTTATCAGAGAACTTATAAGTCCGACAGTCACTAAAGTCATTTAGTTTGTTATGTCTCTGCAGTAACAGGCCGTGGTTATAGAACACCATCAAAACTATGATGCTAATGATTCTCATTCAGAGATAGATTTAAAGGCCTATTTGTCAGTTCTGGCATCATAAATTGCATTTACATCTTCCATTACTTCTGGGCCTTTATTTTCTCAGATCACATAAATTCTGTATTAAAAACTTGCAAAGACAGACGGATGAGAGACACATGCACCTACATGAAAAACATTTGTTTAGAAAATTGGGTGAATAAATATTCCTGTGAGCACAGAAAGATCTGCCTCCAAGCGTGTGGAAAGATGTTGGCGTGTCGTCCATGTTTATGTGTAACAAAACCTCAGAACTAGAGCAGAGAAATAATCTCTGTAAAACTGAAATGTCTTGTTTGTAGGTTAGGAGTCTGAAAACAGCTTCCTTTATTTTTCTTTACTCAGGAGCTCAATTAGACTAGATATGCATCTAACTCCCCATTATAATGAAACACTAAACAAATGGCAGAAATAAACTCCAATGTTTGTAACAGAAGTCTGTGTCTGCAGGTGATTTCAAATAAAATGTCATCTTCTTTTACATTGTAGAACCAAGTGTTATTATTTTTGCCTCTGGTACACCCAGGAGGGTTAATGGTGCATTCTACATTCCACAGTCTGTTCCTAAATATCTATGACATCCAAACACGACCAAGTTAGCTATCAGGAATACAAAACTAGTCCTTTTGGAAGAACTGATCTGTATCCCTGCAGGATCAAAGCATCTATAAAAACACATCGATCCCTTCTGGTGGAATATCTTTGATATCACAAAAGTCCCTTCGGCTGGTTTGAGGCGTCAATCAGTCCTTCTATAGGACCTGACATCTATGACATCACATCAGTCTTTTCTGCATGAACAGATCTATATGATGTCACTTCTATAGAAACTGATATCTATGATGTCACATCGGTCCCTCATTCAGGAACCGATATCTATAAAGTCACAGTAGTTTGTACTTCAGGATCAAATCAATATGATGTCATAACTTCGACAGAAAGTTATATCTTTATTCTACAAAAACTAATATCTATGATGTCATATCGGTCCCTCCTTCAGGAAGTGAGATCTATAAAGTTATATCCTCCCTTCTTGAGGATGTATAAACTATTAAATGTTGCATAACTGACATCAGTCCCTCTATAGAACCTGACATCTATGACATCACCAGTCCCTTCTATAGAAACTGATATCTATGATGTCACAGGGGTCCCTCCTGCAAAAACATATTTCTTTAATCTGACAATATTCCCTGATGTCATAGCAGTCCCTTTTTGTGGAGACTATCGATACTTTCAGCATTTCGTTCCACAGGTACTGAAATCTATGTCAAATGAGTTACCTTTGCAGGAAAACAGATCTATAATCTAATTTTCTTACACCCCCACGCTCTGAACAAACTCATGTTTATGATGATAGTTCTAATGTCTCACCAGTCACACCAGTGTTTCCATTCTGTAGGACCTGAAACAAGTCCTTTGAGTTGCAACAGTACTATCATATCAAACCAGTTCTTCCTGCACATCATTCATGATGGAACAATTGGCTTTTGTTCAAACCAGTAGCAGAATTTCTGGTTGAAGCTCTTCTGATCAAAGCGAAAGAGCAGAGAAGAAGTTAAAGGTTATTGGAGATTTTAAATTCCCGCTCCCTCCCAGAGGTGACTGACCAACTGTGGACCGGGTTGTTTGGCAGACCCCCCACTGGTAACCGTTCCTCATTTCTCCTTCATTG